TAACACCATGAGAGATTGCAATTTACTATTCTTCTTCTGCATTGGTTACTTACTTCAGTGGCTACTGAAGTAACTGCAATGAAATGTGGATGAGGTATACTTCTTTTGCATTTTCTAAATGTCGAAAACGGTCTTCATGCGGTTGAGTGGACTTTAAAGATGTAATTTGAATCAGGATCACTCTATTTTCATTTAGTTTAACAGAATTTGAATAAAGGTAAAGAGCTCAGAGTTAACATTCCCCACACATTCAGATAATTCAAACAATTCATAACTACAAATACTTACTGTAAACAATTATTTTATTTCTCAAAGACCTCTAATATTGACAAAAATAATTTGTTGACATAAACACAAATATTTGTTTTTGAATGTGAAAGCATCAGTACAGGATTTAGTGCAGTATTTGCTTGTGAAGTGGTTTGACGCCTTTGCTTGTGAAACCTCTGAAACATCAAGCTTGTTTGTTTTAACTGGAGAAAAGTCAGAATTGTCTGAATTTCTCTATGAGTTCTACCATGTTTTACATTTTGAAATTATCTTTAAAAATATTTCGATCATTAATGATACAAACAAATGTGTTAGTTTTATTGTGTGGAAATTACTTTGAAGGTTTCTGAAGAAGAAATTAAAAACCCTCAACAAAAACTAAACTCAACACAGAGAAATGTAACTTCTGTTAGCTTAAATTAATTGTTTTCCACAAATTCTCATTTTCAAAGTTGATTTTTTTTTTCTTTGAAATTTTACAGAACAGTTTTGCAGACATTTTGTTTTGGTGCTTAAACTAAGCAGACTGAACAAATTGACAGCTTCTCCTCCTATTTATGTAAATTTCTTATTCTTTTGTACAATATATTTGATTTATATATATATATATATATATATATATATATATATATATATATATATATATATATATATATATATATATATATATATATATGTGTGTGTGTGTGTGTGTGTGTGTGTGTGTGTGTGTGTGTGTGTGTGTTTTTCTTGAAAGTTAGATTTTTAAAAAAAATCTAAAAATCACTTTTATTCTGTTTTACCTTTATTTAAAAAATATATAAAACAACATTACAATTTGTTTCAGTGCATACTCTCAGAATCAGTATAATTGAGTATTAATCAGATCAATTGCTCTGATCAATGGTTTTTATTTTTGGGTAATGGTGCAGAAAAACTGCAAGTTGGTAAAACAAGCCTTGAGTAGTGAAATCACATTTAGAAACACAGAGACATAAACATGCAAACATATGCACATGTAAAATATTAATATTCGTACCTGGGCCTCAGATTATTTTAAAAAATGCGGTTTTATCATCATCTAACGAAACGCTGGTTTATTTAATACAACTTTTTATCCTTAGTTTAGGTACTGCACAGATTTTCCCTCAATCAAGAACAGAAAATATACATATAATAACGACTAAGCAAACGTTGTAAATCTCAATAAAATAACTTGCAGAAAAAAGACAAAAAACAAAACTTCATAATAAAATAACCAAATACAGTTTTTGTCTCCGTTTGAGGCTGAAAGTCTGTAACTGATTTATGAGCAGCATTGTGTTATGTGCAACAATAACTCAGTGTTGGGTAATTATAATCAGTGGCCAACAGCAACAGGTTAATTAATTGTTTTGGTTTTCCAGTTGCACACACGGCAGCTGAAGAACTAAATACGCTCTAATTAGTTTCAGCATCCTGTAATATTTGCTTTAAATCAAATGAAATTCTAAAAATAAGATTGCATATGTTTTTTTTTTTCAGTGGAGTTTAAATATCCGTCGAAATGCGTACTGAGTTTACTTTCTTTTTTTTTTTTATTGTTAATTAAAAGCTTTCCAACAGAGATGTTTTATTCCTGTCCGTTCCTCTCTGCCTCCTTCAGAAAAGAGCCTGTTTGGCTGAGATATGTCGGAAGTGCCGTAGTTTATGTATGCTAATAGGGGGAGTTGGGGGTTGTAGCTAGATATTTACGTTCAGTGGGAGCCGCCCTTCATTCACCCACATGGTTACCAACTGGTCGCCTTCGCGCCACTTTCTTAACCCCGCAATCATTTCTAAGAAGCATCTCTGGGCTCCAAATGTGCTCTATGTCGGCACCGACCGTACTTTACGTTTCGTTTTTGTCCGCTGTTTAAAAAGTTTCGGGATAGCAGCGGTTTTATTCGCCTCTTTTGTCGGCGTGAGACCAGCACGGCAGCCCGAGCAAGTGAGCGAAGATGGTGGATTTCGGCTGGTGAGTGGAGCGCATGTTTATCGGTGAGGAAGTCGGGTCTGAGCGCGTGTTTTCGTGAAATAAATCCCCGGTGTTGTGCACTGCGGTCCTTCTACTCGTTTTTTCTTGCTTGTGGTGTTGTGTAAGTACAAACACACAGTCTAAATGGCGTGTTGGCGATGAAAACAGAGTAGCGTGAGGCGCATGGCAGCCCCCTCAGCTCCACCATTGAGGGAATGAGGGAGATTTGAAAAAGCGGCGTGGAGCTTTCTCGGCTGCGAGCGGCGTGGAAAAATACCCGGCCTTTCTGTTAGAGCAGAATGCACTCAAAGACACAAGTGCGGCGTGTATTAAGTTAGTTTGTGAAAATGTGCTCAAATTGCGGCTGAGTGTCGAGTGCAGTGGTGTGTGAGTTAAAGTGCCCCCCAGAACAAAGCAGCAGCACATGGGGCAGCTCTAGGCCGCGCGATTTAGCTTAGCTAGCCTAGCCCGTGCGCATCAGTACACCAGTAAAGTTCCCGATCATCTAAAATCCTTCACTTCGAAGGTAGAAGTTGATACATAATGCAGAGTAAGGACGACCATACAAATCTGGAAAGGGCACACGTGGTTTTTGGTTTATTTTTAAACGTGTTTGCTAGTTCAGTAGCGGCTAATTCGTGTTTAAACTCTGGCTGTCTTAATATTAGGATAACCAGTTTATTTTCTCTAATACCACACATCACCCCGCACCACTTCCATTTGTAGCTACAATGGATGTTGGAAGGTATTTTTTTCCTTTAATCAAGCAAACGGCATTTCGTAGCAGCTAAGCTACCTGCGGGTGCTGCTCCGACACGAACCACAGCCTTGTTTTGTTTATGATTTTTCCTCATGGCGACCGAAAAACCACAACCCACGTTTTGGTCAGTACGTGAACAGCACGGAGCAGTGAAGTAATTTTCATACTTTTAACACAAAATGCTATATTAGCTCGCCTGATTTGAAGTCGTTTGAAGTGCTAACGTTGGCGCACTTCGAGGCGCCATGTTAGAAGATGTGGGGGAGGGGTGAACGGCTTTGGCTCTCCGCGCAGGCGCAGCAGCGGTGCTGCTCATTCATGTTTTCGGCGACCTCGTGTTGCTCCTCGTCTACAACAGTCAAAACACCGCTGCCTGTGATGGCGTTTAGACCTTGTTGTTCCTTTTACACGTGTCCCCATAGGTTTCCTGTTGCGTCGCCTTAAAATCCGAGTTGTCCTAATTGTGTTCTTTGTTTCACTTTCCTGTTTCAGATCTACCACGAGGCGCTGAAGCCCACGCTGTGGACAGTTAGGAGCTTCTCAGTTTTGCTGGGGAGCAGTGATGCAGTCTGTGCATTGTCAAAGTGCTTACAGTGCAGGTAGTAATATGTGATATCTACTGCAGTGGAGGCACTTACAGCAATACACAGACACTTGTTTGTAAATTTTGTTTTGCTACAATGTCACTTGAAGTACTGTCTTTGTGCTAAGGTGCATCTAGTGCAGATAGTGAAATAGACTAGCACCTACTGCCCTAAGTGCTCCTTCTGGCATAAGGGGCTGTAATATGCACCGCCAAGTCAGTACTAATTACTAATTGGGCAAAAATATCTTGCAGTTCACTGCTAGTTTTGCATAGTTGCACTACAAGAATAGATGAGTTGTGCAAATCTATGCAAAACTGATGATGGCCTGCTTGCTCTACACCTGTTTACAAATCCATGATTTTTAGGGTGTCAACATCAAGAGCATCATTGCACAGTATGAAGCAAACAGTTAATAAGAAGCACAAGGATTGCTTGCTGGTTCTCATCCACTGACCACAGTTTCTGCAGTACTAAAGTGCTTATAGTGCAGGTAGTGTTTGTCCCCATATCTACTGCAATGTAAGCACTTGAAGTATTTCCAACTGTATATTCTCGCAGCCTGGGTTGTGTAGTCGACGTCAAATCTGTTCGTCGCTTGGTCAGTTTTGCTGGTTTGCATTCAGCTTTAACAGATGTGTGCTGTGCAAATCCATGCAAAACTGATTACGTTGACGGGTCACGTTCTTCTGAGGGAAACCGCTTGCTGTCCTGCTTGGGTTTGTTGAGATGTCCTGTCCTATTCAGGTGGGGATCGGTGGCAATGCTGTTGTTCTGTAGGTATTGCACTTGTCCCGGCCTGTAAAGGAACTGGGAGATGAGCTGAGCAGACCTCGATTTAGCCAAACTGCTGCATAACTGTTATGTCCTGTGCATTTCTGTAGTCTGTATGGGCTATATGCATGTTTCCTCTTTGCAATGCTGTTTTTACGCAGATGTTTGTGTGGTCTTAAAAATAAAAAAATAAAAAAACATTTTAAACTGTCCTGATTTCTTCCATGTCCTGTTAATGCTTTTAAAGTTGCTTTACTTTAATCTACCTTTACTGTGAAAAGTAGCAGTATTTTTAACATAAATGTGTCCAACTTTGCCATCTTCACATTTATGGTTTTTATGTTAAACACTTAACTATTAGTTTGATTTAAATTGTAACTTTGATTTTTAGCAATCACAAAAGTTTATTACTCTTAAAATGGCAAACATGTTAGAAAATGTGCAGACTAGGTGTTGGCTTAAATCGAGGCGTTTGTTCTGTGGGTTTTATGTCTTAAAGCCGATAATTTGACATTATTCATGTAGATGGATTTGTGCAATGGGGAAACTTAAAACCTGGTGTCCACTAGATGGCGCTATTAGACTCAGCGACCCGCTTCTGCGCAGGTAACCCGGTGGTACCGCCTCCGCTGTCTGTCCAGCCAACTTGGACAGCGTGCGATTTCAGAGTCCGCAGAAACTTTGAATCGTTTTCTGGATTTAAGTCTTGAGTCGCACAGAAACCATCTCTATCGCGGTTTAAGTCTGGAACCTGAAATGCGTACTCTTCCGCTACCTGCCGGCGTATGTGTGAAGACGGACCCCTGACTTCCAAGAAGCTCCACGTTCTCTGGATGAATAAGGATATTTTCTAAAATGAGTGCGCTTTTGAGGTGCTGCGTTTTTCTATGTTTGTGCGGATCAGGACTCGGAGAGATGGACACATGCAGCGAGGTGCACAAAGTTTTTCAACTCAGGCAAATCGGACCAAATCAGGTTCTGCCTTCAAGTCCCAGATCAGGTAAGTGGAGGAGTCGGGTATATCACAGAACCCAAATCTGCTTTCTAGTTAATGTGATTTAACCCCCCCGCCCCTCCAAAAATTAAGGTGGTAGTTAGACCGTTCGCTATTTTCTTTCTTTTTTTTAAAAAAATCTTTTGGACCTACATTTATAGATTAAGTGGTTTTTCAGGTTCATCATATCGCATAAATGATACAGAAGGACAATAATAGGACATGGTTATTCTTTTTTTTTTTTTTTTTTTTTTTTTTTTTTTTGCAAAACAAACATTACTGGGGGAGTATTTCCATAACAAACTTCTTAAATGTTCTAAGGTTCAGCCTTATTAAACCAGTGTGATGTGAACCAGTCAGTCGCTGCTGATGAACTGGCATTTATTTCATTTCAGCTTTGAACTTTGAATCGGCAGCAATGCAACTAAAACAAACAAACAAACTGGTCCATCCTGAGTGGAAATGATTCAAATGAGTCTTCTGATCTCCAAGCTAGAGGACTGTGCACATGCACAGTCCTATTCAACACATTTGAATTATGAAGCTATTTTATTTCAGTAAACTACTGAACTCGAAGAACACACACGACTTATAAAACCAGTCCCTCTAAACAAACGCTGAAAAAGCTCAGCTTTTTAGTTGAATATAGTAATTATAGTAATATCACAGTAATGTAAAAAAGCATCTTCAATTGTCAAAGAAATGCAGGCTTGCTGGTTTGGGCTGAACAACCTGGATGCTGAGCCCTTGAGTTAATTACAAACTCTTTGTTTATATCCTATTAAATGCGAGTACACATGAATGCATGCAAGAGTTAGCACTATTTCACTTTTTTAAACTTAAAATACAGAAGGACAATAACAGGTTTAAGCAGCATGTGCTGTATTTGTGAATCTGCTGGTGTAAATCATGCTGTCTTAACCTTGTGACTCCAGCAACAAAAGCATCTGAGATTACTTGATTGAAATGCACAGAAATCCCCTCCCCGTTGGGTGTTTACTACAGATAAGTGGCTTTCAGGGATAAATAGGAGTGATTTTGTTTAAGGCTAGGTAAACTTGGCTTTCTGAATGCCACCCATGGTAATTATCTGCAAAATTTGGGAGGAATTGTGGGTGTGGGTGTCCTTAGTGGACTGTCATTGACTGGATGGCCTGTTGCTGGTGCTCCTGCTGAACTCTGTTCTCATTTTCAGAAAAGTAAAGCTAAATGGTGTTGACTGCCGCCGTGCCACAAAATGTAGCCTATAAACTCCATGGCTCCTGACAGAATTGACAGAAAACCCTCAACAACTTCCTAACCTCCCCTTATAGTGGCACATATCCTCTCCTTAAATAAGCCTCTGTGGCTGGTCTGTGTCATAGCTGGAGCTAAAATTTATTTTCTCTTGGATAAATTGTTTGCAGTGCGGTGTTCAGTAGTTTAAGAGATGATAAGACCCTGTAAAAACGCTCGCTACTGTTGTGAAATACGTCACAGCTGACCGTTTTCTTATCACCTTGCCACATCTACATCCATCAAGCCAGCTGAAAGATACAGATCGCTTTCTTGATGGGTTCAGCTTGATGTTCCGAAGTACAACAAATGGTAGATAGTAGCTTTTATTGTTGGTGGGCCAGAATGATATCAGCACTTATCGAAAACAGAGTCTCGGTTTGTGAATAACAGCCTGCAGGAATATCCGCAGACAGAGAAAAAATGTATCTATATTTGACAATAAAAACAAGCAACAAGCATAATTCAGTCTGGGTCAAAGCATAGCAAGTTGCAAGTCATATCTGGAAGAAGGTGGAATAAGACCCCAGCATGCATTTAGGTGGGGGAAAAAAAGCAAGTCTTTCATGCAGTCTTATCTGAAAGACTTTGAATTCCAGTACGTATGCCATCTTAGCTCTGCTCACCATCAGACCTCGCAGGGAGTTAATAGCGTCTGACAACAGTCTGCAAACTCTGTCTGGGCTTGTCGTGGAGGCTTTTGCAGCATTTTGGGTCTCCTTTGGGATGTTTTGATTGTCCTGTATCTGGTGTACGCTGGCTTGTATCTGTTTCTACAAGGAAATCCAAGACTTCATCTGTTTCAGTCAGTAACTGTTTTATTCGGAGAGACTTTTGATTTCCGAGACACTTGGTTTTCTAAATTAAATTTAGCTGTTTGATAAACATCTGTAATGTTTGAAGTTACAGTCCTTTGTGTTTATATCCTTTTAACAAAAACAAGACATTTGACTTCATGCTCCCAGTGTACAGACATTAACTATAAATACATAAACTGTAAAGAAAATAAAAGATACATGCAACACCAAACGGTATGCTGATGTCTTATTCAATAAATTTGAATTTTATTATTTTTTTTCAGTGTAATAAACAAATAAAATATAATAAAATCAGCATATTGCAATACCACAACCTGGCTTGTCCGAATGTGCAAACTTTAGGAGTTTCACTGTTGGCATTACTGAAGAGCAGTAATAGATACTTGATTGTGAAAAGGAAGGACATGTTTTGCATAGTTTGCAATTGTTGAACAAATACAAATCCTGAAACTGTGCCATATATTTGTATTCAACTCCTTTGAGTTAACATTTCATAGAATCATCTTTCCTTGCGATTATAGCTATTATTGGCTTTGCTCGCTACATGGAGTGTAGTTGGACCATGTCTAAATACATTTACAGTTGTCTACTACTATCTAAATTTTTAGATGTGCTCTGTGAGATGTTCAAAGCTATGTTAGCCCGGACCTGTCTGGTGTGATCTTTAATCTTCTTGGGATTTGTTTCAAAAGTTTTCTAAAAACTTTCAGAAGCCTTCACAGAGTAGCTGTGTGTTTTACTAAGATTTATTAATGCGCAGATACACTGTGCTCAACAAAGGTGTGACCCTTGAGAGCTCCACTGGGTTTTATTAGCTGGATCAGAGTGAAGTGGGTAGAATACATGTGCACAGATTTCTAATTTTCCTGCCATGTCACAATGTTGTAATCTTGCTAAAATAGAATTAAGGTTTGCGGTCGCAACACACAAAATGTTTAAGTGATATTTAGACATTTACAAGGCACTGAAAAGGATAGCTTCTTTAAGACCAACACTTACACTCCTTACAACTTTTTTTTTTTTTACAATTTTATGTGTCAATTTTCCAGTTTGTGTAAATATTGCTATAGTTTTAGTCTGACGAAGGTCAAAGTGTTATTCTTTGCACATTCTTTTCATGAATCTGGTCAGTTTCGGGTGGCAAATCCACCAGATTTGTTTGTCTTAAAGCGGAGTTTACATGGATTAACTTAAAGGCAACATGCTTATCCCCAGTTTATATCTTTAATGTGTAAGGCTTGGATTTCTGAAGACAAAGGTGCTTAATAGGAGCTGTATTTGTTCTGAGAGCAGTTTGTAGCATTAAATTATTTGTTGTTACAGGAAAAAGTTTAGTTACATTGATTTTTGTTATATGTCAATAAAACAGAGCTTTGTTATGTCCTTCTTTGAAATTGTCGAAGGCAGCAACTATAGAACCACTTTTACTTTACGTTTACTTTATCTTTTATTTTGTTTATGCACTTGTATGACATTTTAATATCCTCACACGTGATGCCGGCTGCTTTCAGGTGCCGATCTCCAGGTGTGCACGTCCAAAGGCTCAACGTGTTGCACCAAAAAGATGGAGGAGAAGTACCAGGTGGCGGCCCGGCGGGATGTCCAAAACCTCCTGCAGACCTACAGCTCCAGACTCAAGATGCTCCTGTCGCGCAACGTGGCCGCCTTTCAAGGTAATTGCTTGTGTGTGTTTAGGCGTCACAGCTGTAGCCTTGTGAACACGAGTTGAGTGCAAATGTTTATCCTTTAGTGTTTATGTGCAGATGTTTGTGTGGGTGTCGTTAAGATACAGATGAGTCGTGTGTGTGCGTGTGCATCAGATGAAACAGATAAGTCCCACTCAGAGATCTATAGCGTTTGCAACAGATCTGCAGCTCAGATTTGTTGGTTTTTGCTGCTGAAGGTTTTTGCTGCTGAAGGCATGGGCTGTAGGGATAAACAGAGCTCCTTCTACTTACATCCTTTCCTTTGCAAGCTCTCCCCAACACTTTGTATCCTTTTGTAGAATGAAACCATATTTTTTTAGAGAATTGGAGGGGGAGCATTCCCATCACACAGGTGGGTGTTTGTGTTGATTCCTCTCCATCATTTCATTCAGGGTTTGACGTGCAAGCACCGACTTGCCTCTTTGTGTGTCTGCTTGCTTTTGTCCATCTAGTGTGGTTTTTTTTCTCTCACTCCGGCTGATAGCCGATATATGAGGGCTGAGGCTGGTGGGCAAGAGATCCAAAGTGAATGACTTGAACACGCAGCCTCAGACATGTCATTAAGGTTGTTCACTGTAATGCTGCCTTTCAGGTTAAAGACAGACTGTTATCCTCCCCTGAAACGCCAGTGATTTATAGGAAAGCCCCGCATGATTACAGTGTTTTAGCTGAGGTTTGGAGGGGCAATACCCTATTTTTGTTGGTAAATGTGTCATCTGCTTGTTCAGGCTTTGAACATGAAATTACATTTTAAAGTTGAGGAGGCAAAGCATAACTGATGCTGTATAGAACAAGGCTGCTGTTATTGGACCTTTTCAGCCAGTCGTATGTGGTTCCTACTTCAGCTAGTTGCTACAGAAAACATTAAATTGTCATTCTCAATATTCCTTTCTTCTTTCTAAGTATGTATTGACCCTGATGCTGTCCCTAACTCCTCAGTGGACCCACTTTTTGTTGAGTTGAATTTGGACTTGTGTGATTTTTTTATTTTTTTTCCCTCCTACTTCTCAAGTTCTCGTGCTCTCTTGGCCGTTCGGGAGAAAACACAAGTAATGTTGCAGGAGTGGCGCTCATAACCGTTTGAAAGTACCCGCTAAACTCACATGGTTTCATCTGGAGAATCGCAGGCAATGTTCGCTCCTTCCAAACCAAACAACGCTCCCCGTCAACATCAACTCCCATTAGTCAACAAACACTGGCGGCCGTTTCTTGCATAAGACAAGTGGCAACAGACCTTCCGGTTATTTTTCTTTTGCTTGTGAGGATCACTGTTGCACTCTGTTGGCTCTGGATATACAGAGAAAATGTGTTTCACACATTAACCATTATTTGGATCATTTATCACTTTGACTATTTTATTTTTCTCTTTCAAAACAAGAAGTCAGTGAAGGATGAGAAAACTGCTGATGATTCTTTTGTTTTTTGCTACAATCTCTCCATGTCACAGATCAACAAAATGCTTCACAAGTTTCAAAATTATTTAGAAAGTATCAATCTGAAAATTGATTCAGTCCCCTTGACTTCTTTGATACATGTAATGAAATCCCAGGCATCCAGTTTACACTAATGAAAAATAGCATCACTAAGACCAAGAATCACAGCAGACAGTTCATGGATAAAATTGTAAAAAAAATGTGCAACAATTCACTGGCCACTTTTGTCAAACTTATGTCAAATCTGCAAATCTTATGATGTGACAATCTGTTTGAACTTGCATACATAAAGGTACTTTTTTACCTTTATGTATGCAAGGTAAATCTCTGCAGGTTCTGCAGAACCTGCAGATATTTAGTATTTAGATAGGAGTCTACGCTTAATAAATTTGAGATAAGTACTAGACCAACTTAAAAAAAAATTCTGTTTATTGGTGATGCAGCAAAGATGTAGAGGAAAAGTGCTCTGATCAGATAAGACAAAAATGTAATTGTTTATGCCTTCATCAAAAATGTGGAGAACTAACAATGTACATTATCCAGAACCACATTGCCATTAGGTAATGTGGTAGTGACAGCATCATGCTTTAAGGATGCTTTTTGACTTTTGAGAAAAAAAAGCTGTTCAGAGTTGACATAAGATAGATTGAACTACATGCCAGAAAGTCAGAGAAGAAAACCTGTTAGAGGCTCCCAAAGAAAGTGGAGGTTCACTATTTAGCAGGACAGAAGTAGAATGGCTCAGTCAAAGACCAGACCTAAAATCCAAATATAATCTGACTGAGCAAAAGCTATCTTGCAAAAGAGATGAAATCTGCAAGCTGTGCAAAGCAGATACAGACATGTCCCAAATCACTTTAAAATGTTTATGTGACACAATTGTGCTTGCATTTTTCCATATTTGGCCTTTCATATTTTACAAGCTTCTCTTGTTTCTTCTTCTTTTTTAGGAAAGCCACTAAATGTAGAGTTGTGTTTAGTAAAACCTATGACATAAACTTCCCTTCACAAAATTGTTTGCTTATGTAAAGCTCACTAAAAGCATTGCAACATTACACAGCGAGCGGTTTTTGTATTACTTTAAAACGAGTTGTTCTTTCAGCTCCAAGCCAAACATCTTCTCTCTTCAAACAGACTTGATTATGTAAATAAATAACTTAGTTAACAAAAAGAGTCAGATATAAAAACAGCTGTGTTAACCAATTTACTGAAAGAAGACTGTTTTTTGTATGCTTTCACCACCAACATGGATGGAAGATAATGTTCTTCTTTGTGAGATATTTGGACACTGTGTCTAATTCGTATCGGTATTATTTGAATTACTATGGAATTAGACTTACTGCGAGTCATGTCAGAAACCAAATTCATACACTCAAGGCAATTCACAGTAGATGTTTTAAGCACTGTTGTCACAGAACCACATTGTTTAACATGTAACCTGTCAGAAGTCGAGCATTTCATCAGCTGTTCAAATCTATTAAGGAAGTGTTGATGAATACTTTTAGTTTTGTGAGATTTCTGCAGAAGTATTTTTGGCCGAAACTCAATGCCAGTTGCATTAATAAGACTTTTCTGGTGAACAGGAGCTTTACAATTTACCGGGAAAGAAAAGCCCCATAGATTCAGTAATGATTGGCAGTCGGCACTGTAATTTGAGAGAAATCAACAAACAAACAGAGTTATAACATCACGAACGGGAAGAAGGATGAGATAAAAGGAGGCCAGCTAATGTGGTCATTTGTCTTCTGCGCAGCCATCAATTATGTCTCCTTATATGACACAGCGAAGGGGAGGGTATCAGAATGAAGACATTAGTGAAATGTAGTCGGACAACAGAACCTAATGTATGGGTTTATTTGATGTGAGACACAAAATAAATACATAAATTGATAGAAATTCTTTTTAAAACGTTGGTTTATTCCTCTCATGAGTTGAATATACACAAATTGAGCATGAACCTCTATGCTTTTCTTTCAATGGTACTGTGCTGAAAGAAAGATAACCAAACACCAGGAAAGGAGGAAAAAAGGGAACAAACCTAAAGTTAATTGTATACTTTTAGCAGATATTACTGCAATCTTTAGCAAATTGTGTGTTTTCCCTTGCTGCCCGTCTGTCAGTAAGTCTATCAGGACTGCCTGCTTTCTTTCAGCTTTTGTGAGGTTTCTGCACTTTGTCCACACAATGCACAAATATGCAGCCTGTCGAGTAGGCCTTCAGGGAAGTTCTTTCCTTCATACCGCACAGGTTTGCCTCACATCCATGGCAACCAACCTAAGTGATCCCGGCACCCCGTCGGCCAGGAGTCACATAAAAGTCAAACAGAGCGCAGTATGAATCAGCTGTTGAGACGCCCGAGAGAACGTCTGAGGATGGCTGCGCAAATTATAGCACAGCGGTCTGAAAAGCACCACATCAAAGCAATGTTCTCCTCTGGGAAAATGTTGATTTGTTGAACCATTTCCGAAGCTCTGATTTGTATTGCACTAACTGTGGATGCGTGTTGAGAGGAATAACACAAGAATGCTCAACAACTCCCTGCTGCTACAGTACTTTGTCGTAACTCAACCGAGTCTGAATTCAGTAAAACAAACGTGCAGCCACTAAAAAATCCCTTGACAATATCAGTAAAATGATTTATTTGAAGAAATCTGCTTGGTGAGTAGACTGAACCTCATAAATCATGTCAAAAAACTCACATAAGTCTTGCATATTAAAGTGTACGAAACTGAAGCCCATTGTTATGATTTGCGCCTTATTTTATTTCATGCCTGAAGGAAATTTGTGGAGTTGTTTTGAGATTCCTGTGGTGAGATTTTCTCACCAGAAAAAAAAAAAAAAAAAAAAAACGCAGTTGCATTGTTAGGTTTATGTTTGTGGTTTTAGCACAACAGTGTTTTTGTTGTCTTGAAAAGACTGATGGGAACATTACCTAATGATTTATTGCTAGGAATATACAAACTATAGAGTGCTCTGAAAAATGGTTTTCCTGCGCAAAAAAAGCAGAACATGCAACCCGAAGACCAATTCAGACAGAGGTTGTTAACCCATAATTCAGCTCGAAGCCTTCATAAGTACAACATGACCACTTGGAGGGCAAGTTGAAACAGGCTGTTTTAAGGTTAATGCTGCTGTTACTTGAATGTCTGCTGCATAAAACTGCTGCGACCATTAAGATTTTGTGGCTTGTGGTCTTTCTTCCAGTCAGTATGTCATTTTGGTTTTGAGTCTAGAAAGAACAAAAATGAAGTCAGCATGAGACAGAGGAAATTAGTGGGCACAGACACAGGCTTTTTTATTTCTTTATTTGCATTGTTTCTGACTGAGACATTCTGCTTAGGAGGTGAATGTGAAAAAAAAAGTCCTCCTGATGTTGCAGGATTTCTGTAATGTGGTGAAGTTCAGTTCAGTTCAAAATTACGCTAATTAAATGTCAGAACTAATCTTATTCAAAGCAATGCTTTGTTGTTTTCTGTTTCTTTTTATTTATTTATTTTCTTTTACTAAAATTAAGAGTTATCAGAGTTAATCATT